AACATAGCATTCAAATTGATTAGCTCCATAGTTAATTTATAGTGCCTAGCACTGATGGTCTGCAAAAACATTAAAAATCACTACTGTCCTAAATTTAAAAAATTTGCCATCTTTTAAAAGTCACACCAGAAGCCAAAATATATCTACATGAAGATTAAAGAATTAATTTTTCTAATATGCAGATTTTATTGTATTATTATGATAATACTGCCATTTACTTTAAAGTAAACATAACTAGTTACTACTTACATTAGATAAGGAAATGCAATTAAGAAATGATGTTTGATGATTATTGGTATGAGTATAGTTTATTATTTTATTATAATCAGTTCGTTACAGAACAAAATATCTCGATCTCTTTGTATCTTCCAAGGTTACCTCTACAAAGGAATTACATTTCTTTTTATTGAGCTTAGGATTCTGGTTATTGAGTGAAAATATTTTATTTAAAAATCTAATTGCTTCTGTCATTTTTGGGGAAGGGGAGAAGCTCTAATTCTGCTTCCAAGATTCTCCTTCCAGAAGAAATTTTCTACCTCAAAAATCAAGGACTTTCCTGAAAACTGCAGATAGCAGACAGCGCATTATCATCACCCTGGCTAACAGGACAGATTTTTCTCCCTAAATGTCCCTTCTGCTCTCTAGTTTGAATTATCAATAAAACGACTTGGCTAATCTCTGAACATAACCTTGTTGACAACACAAATATGGACTTAAACATGCTACCTCCACATTTAAGATTTAAGAAGCCCCCAGTAAATGTCAGGGGATGTCAGTGTGTTTGCTGTGATACTTGGGTATTATTAGTGTTTAACTGCAATTCCCAACAGCGCCATGCCGCCAGCACTACCATAAATTTTAATGTGATCATGTGCTCTTCTCTTTTCATATCCAGTGAATTCTGCAAGATCATAATATTCTGTATGAACGCTCGCTGAACCTTAGTGTGATGTGAAGAAAGAACAAGATTTCTAGCAGTGACAGCTGTTCATCATTTTATAGTCGTTGTTTTTTTTTTAAACTGCACACTGAGCAACATGGCTCCCTGAATAACAATACCCTAAACTAAATTCACTCATTCAATTAATCTTTATTGAGCCCTTACAGGATGCAGGGCACGGCCCAAAGTGCTAATGAGTACATTTATGGGACAGTAAAGAATACTGACTCTTAAGGAAATCTTTCTTTTTTCCCCTTGGAAAATCTGTCAGAGATCATACATCATTTATAAAAAAAAAAAAAAAAAATCTCTGCAACCTCGGCATCTCTATATGCCTTTTATTTTATGAATACAAACAAAAGCACAGCCATTTCCTGTATCTGGTCTACACTGTGAATCTAAGAAATTTGTTCATCATCTTTCATTACGTATGTGCTTGATGAGATGTTTATTCCACAAGCTTGTATAAATATAAATAGAATTTCTATAATTATCATTCATCTGCAGGATTTTATTCCTTTTAACCACAAATAGTAACTGGTACTCTACACTGCATTTATCTGAGGAATTCAAAGTACTTGGTATAGTTTAGCTTCCTAAATATTTCTTTAAAAGCAAAGAATAATTATTGAAGCCTTCATTTTACAAATTTGAAAGTTCAGGTCAGGGGGATACCCAGTGAACTAAATTTCCACCACTTCATATCAAATTGCCTATCCTACAAATCTTTTTTTTTTTTAATTTCCAAAGGAATAAAAACTGCTTTGTTACTTAGACATACCTTTGAATACTTTTGCAAAATACAATTCCATGTTTATCTTCTGTTTTTGAAATGATTTTAGGGTTAAAGGTTAGGAAGCTGGTGTGTATATCTGTAATTTTCTTGTCCTGTTGTACACGGTGCCAAAATTTTTGCTCATCAGTGACACACAATTATGCATTTTCCCATTACCAGAGATAATGAGCTTAGGAAAATACACAACCACAGATTTAAGGTTGCACGGAGAGTATTCACGCTAACAGCAGTGTGGTCAATTAGAAAACAGGTCCATCCTGAGAGCGGGGGCTGTTTTCTGGCAGACCGGTTTTGTTTATAACTTTTTTTTTTTTTTTTTTTTAATATCTTTTCTGTGGAGAGTGTGTACGTCTCAGTATCTCCTGTTCTTGAAGAAAATAAACCCTTTTAGGGAAGGTTGGTAAGTTTTTTTCCTCCTATTTTCCCTTTTCCCTGGCAACTGGTTGAGAAACTTTGCCTTGGAGCACCATCTAGAGGAAAATTCAGCAACCTGTGCCATGCTCTCTTGGCTTTGTGACCCAGGCTGAATTCAATGGTTGTATGGTGATTTTTTTTCTTTTTTCAGATTAATAGAAAATTTGGGTACTAAATCAACACAAAGATATGGAATATGCGAATCAATTACAAAAACAAAAAACAGTGAAAGACCCTTTAGTCTTTAGGAGAGCCTGAAGCAATAAATACCTATTCGTGGAAATAAGTAGGTTATCATTTTGCCATAGGCTGAGATCCCTATTTTAGAAATTAAAATTGATGAGTAAATTAAATTTATTTTCACCTTCACTTATCAAGTAATCTTTGTTATTTCTGTAATTATTTTCTTAGGACATCCTGATTAACAAGATTTCTTATGGTCAAGTTGGAGAAGATACGGAGGATTGATCGCTTGTGTTAGAGAAAAACAAGAGTTGACATTTTCAACTTATTATACCCTGAGTCAAGCTCAGCACAAATTTAGTGAGCAGAGAATAATATCTTTTCCAGATGTGTTTCTTCAATTCAATGTGAAGGAGAAAAAATAATATTCACCAATGTACTCTTTCCAAAGCCATGTTTTGATTTTGCAGCCTCTCCCCACTCTCCTACTCCTTAGAGAACTTTAACAGCTAATTCTCATCTTTCTGCACTAGCATGAATACAAAAACAAAACCCAGACCTTCTCCAGCAGAGATAACTCTTCAAGGCTGATGAGCAGGCTTGCAAAAACAACTGTACCCTTGAAATATTCTGACAGTATGAGTATCCCTACTGTGGTGACATAGTCTTTGAGTTCCACTTTCTTCAGCTTTTTGAAAAGGATAAAGATTGTCCATATCATGAAAACATTCACTGAAGAAAACTGAGTATGTATTTCCTTCTTCTCCTAAGTGCCCACTTCTACCCCTCTGTCCTTGCCAACTTCCCCCAGCCCAACTCTTTTAACGCTTGTCATAAAAATTTATCTCTGTCCTTGACACCTTTAACTCACAATGTCATAGTCATTCCTTTTTCCTTTGTTGATCTAAGGTTCTTGCTTACTTATTTTTTGCAATTCACCATAAATTCACAGATGCTTCAAAATAATCAGTTAATAATTTCTTTATTGAAGAGCTTCTGTGAGCCAGACACTTGAACTCTGCGCACAGAAAATGATTCCTTCTCTACTGAGATCTGATATGGAAAAAATGAAATGAAGCTAGTGCATTATTTTTTTTTCCAACCAATATTGGCTCTTTAAGAATGAAGCCTCGCAGTTCAAACCATCGTCCCTCCTCACTTGGCTGGCTGACTGCTTTGATGGTGTATATTGTATGTAACAGAGGACTGGGCTAGTCCAATTTTTCCAGGTCAGTCTGCCTGCTCCTTAAGCAGTTAAAGACCCAAAAAATAAGTCCCCAAGTATAAGAGAGCAGAGAATTTTGTCCCATCTTCTTATGACATATGTACATTTGATTCAAGTCAATTGAATATGAATTTGTCAAAAACCTACCAATTGTACCATAGAGCTCAAGGTACTGGTGAGGCCTTCAAAAACAGGTGTTGAGTGAATGAGTGAATGTTGTTGAAAGAATTAGAATTTATCTTTTAACTCAAGTAGCTTACCCTATAGGAGAGTAAGAGATTGGTAACTTAAAATACATAGCAGAAAGAGAGATGTGTTATACTAGATACAGTGCAGAGAAGTAGGCAATTATTGATGCTTGGGGAGAAAGAGGAAGGCTTCGTGGAAGAGCTGATATCAGGTCAATGCCTTAAAAGGTAAGTAAAATTTTAATAGGCAGAGAACAAGGCAGAACATGTCACGAGGAAAGAGCAGAATAGTTTTCATTCAGTTAGATCAAAGGAAAATGTATTTCACTTGGAGTTCCCTAATTTGGGGTTAAATTTGAATCTGGGTGCAAAAATGCAACGTATTTGGATTCATGTTATGAGAATCCAAAACTTATGTTCTCTTTTTTCCTATGGTAGATATGTTCAAACGTATGTGTGTAAGATACACACACACACACATATATATCTCCATGATCCCAAAAGCCAACAAATTTAAGCCAGAAAACATTTTACTTGATGATATCTTAACAATATAAGTGAAAATAAGGCCAAGACAAGCCTTATTTTTTGCCAGCAAATAAGGATAAATAGAGGATTTTGTTTCAATCGTAGCCACAAAATTTACTTCTAGATTAAATTCCAAGGCTTACCTCTGGCAGGTTGCCCTAGCTATCTCCATAAAACACACTGGCCACCTTCACTGGGTTACAGCCCCTGGGGCAGAGATTTTAAGCCTAGCGAGCCCCTAACCCTGAGAGCATTCACTCCTACCCCACCCTGTTCTCCCTTGCCCTCTCCAGCCAGATAAGCATTCTCTCAGGATTTCCAGTGTTTCTGTGGGTAATGTTGACACCTCCCCACTTTGGCTTTCCACCAGGCTAGATTCTTATCCAGTGATCTGTTTGTTCTGTTACTCATTCTCATTTCCTCTGCAAAAAGATTACTTTGAAAATCCAAGCATTTATTTTGTAAAAGAACCAGTTTCCTGAGACAAACCATTGAAAATAGGCTTCAGCAATCATTCCAAGGCTACGCCTGCATCAATGTGTCAGTGATTTTACAGCTTTAAAGCTTAGAAATGCTTCCAAATACATACTCTCAGGTAAGTTCTGATGGCAACTAAATCACATGGCAATTGTTAGAGAAATGGAAATTTAAGGAGAAGGTCTGTGGTCCATACAAGCGACAGATGACCATCACTGTATTCACCATCACTGAACACAATTTACTTACAGTTAACATTGCGAACATCAGTTGGCACACGTTGAAGGCATGTCTCCAGTTGTGGTACAGAACCATGCGATAGTTTTTCCTCACTGTCAAAAGCCACCTACACAGAGTCTGGAATGGGAAGGGGGAGGTTGTGTCATGGCAGTAGTATGTGTCTCCAGTGGACCATTACCCAAACGCTGCCTTACATCTGAGTAACCACCTTCAATGATCAAAGTCCTTCCACAGACATCTTATATGATTCTCACGGTAATCCTGCAAGATGCCCAGGGAAGGTACTATCATCCCCATTTTGTATTTGGGAAACCAGAGGCTTAGAGGGGCTAACCCATTGTCCCAGGGGCACTCCTGAGATCACCCAAGACAGAACGTCTTACCTCATAGTCAATTTTAAATTTCTGTACCATCCCCAGCTCCATGAACATCCGGAGAGCAGCAGTGATCATGGCGTCAACATCAAGAGAAAAGTCATCAAAATGTATGTCATCGATGGCAAGTTCTGACACCAGAGGGATGTTGGCTGCCTACAAAAGCAGAAGACATAAGTCAAACCAAGTTTACCAGCTTTCCCAAACCCCACATCTTGCTGTCCTCCCCGCTTATCAGAAGTGCCACATAAATCAGGCCTGACCTGCACTTACACCCTGATACAACTAAATTCTGAGCTGTAAATGTCTTTTGTTTCTGAACTGCAAATACCCCAAGCAAATGAAGGGGGGAGAAGGGGAGGGAAGCTAATCTGAAGATAAAATACACACACTGGATCTAGTCTGCAGAATTCAGAACACAGAGCTGTCTAGTTTACTACAATCTCGTTCATACAATATATTCTGATGCATATTACAGAGCACTAAATGAAAGAAACATCTGGGCAGCCAGCAGCCGTGAATTTTAATTGCTCCTATTCAGAAGGAGACGGAATACAGCACTTTGTCTTGTTTCTTGTATACTTACATCCAGTAGCTGTACACGTGCTCTTTGTTGCACACGTGTTCTATATATTCAGAAGGATGGAAAGGATCAGACAGCACATCTCTGGTGCAAAATATGTTTTCTTAATAAAACAGAGACATTTGGAAGGTAGCATAGCATATGCTTCATTTAAGGCATAAATTTTGCAATATTGTTGGGCTTCATTCTATATAAACCTGACAATATAATTACAACACTCGTCATACATATGCAGGGATATCAAAACAGCCATGTTAGGCAGCTGTCAATCAGTCATCCCACAGAAACATAAAGAGAAGGAAAAAAAATCTTTGAAATCATTTTATGCTGATTTGATTGGGTCTGTCGTCTCCTTCAGGCTACTCTTAGTAAGGAAGTCATTTTTATGTTGTCAGGTTATCACGGACCATTCTGCATTCACGTTCCTAGTCTATTCACTGGGTGTAAATTACCCAGGGAGTAATTCACACCCTGGGACTACTTTGACTGAGCAATTAAATCCAACTCTGGTCACTCTAAGCATTCCAGAAACCACATAATCAATTCTTCTTTCTCAAATCTTTCTTCCTCCATAGGAGTTTACATCTTCAGGCTAAAATCCAAACGCTGGCTATTCTTCACAATATGGAAGAACAATGAACAAATATGTAAGTTACAGAATAACTTATCTTCTATTCTGAAGATTATTTATTCTCACTAAAAAAATCAATCAGCTTATTCTTCAGTAAATCATTTTAATATATTAACATGCTTGTAGATACCAGCTCCTTTGTATTAAAGGCAAGGGTTTTAAACTCAAGCACAGTGACAGAAATCATGTGTGTGAACACACGTGTGTGTGCTTACTCTTTGCTCCTGAGCCCATGCCAAGCACTTTAATATTTTTTTTATTTTTACTTTAAAAATATTTTTAAATCAAAGTTATACATGCACATAGTTTTAAGGGTAAACTAGTTTTACAAAGTGAGTTACACTTACAGACACACACACACACACACACACACACACACACACACAAGCAGAAATCTGATGTCAAAATTTTCCCTCACCCACAACCACTTTCAAATCTTTTAGATTTCTTTTGTATTTGCCTAAGTAAGATGCTTACAGTTTTATTTCTTGATTATTTTCTGTTTTAAGCATTATCCACTGACTTCCCAACATTAAAGATGAAGATTAAGCTGTTTTACACTACCTCTGCCAACCTCTGCTGCCTCATACACTAACTCTTCTGATTCCCCACTATAATTATATAATAACTTTGTTTAGGTACATATTCAGGGTTTACATTATTAGAACTACGTAAAAGATATGCACAGCTAAGTCATGCAATTTTCTGTGATTACTTTTGTTTTCCTTGACAGCATTTTGTATTCTTTGGAGTTAATAATTGTCTTCTTTAATGTTTGCTTAGTTTTCTATGTATTTATCACTAATTGAATCCCCAAACTCTCTACCAATCGTCTAAGTCTTCTCTCAAACTCTTCAGATGCTTCAGGTATTCCATCAATTTCATCTTGAAGAAATCTCTCCTGAAACTTACTGAACTTCTCCCATCTGGACTGGCCTTCTATATCTGATATATAGCTGTCAGCCTAGGATGTTTCTTCACCATAATTCTGGGAATGCCTTCACCTCTCTCTTGTGTTTCTCCCACATCTTTCTTGCTTTCTTCCCTCATTTTGGCAAGACACATCCTTCAACACTTCCAAAGAAAAGGTGTGTGGTATGTAAAATTTTTTAAACTTTGCATGTCTGAAAATATCTTTAGGTTATTACCATCCCATTTGATTATGATAATTTGTCTAGATAAAGGTTTCTAGGTTGGGAAATAATTCCATTCGAATTTTGAAGGCATTGTTCCAGTGTCTTTCAGCTTTCGATACTGCTTTTCAGAAGTCAGAAGCTATTCGGAGTCCTGATCCTATCATCCTCCCCATGAAGTTTGTAGGATCTTCTTTTTGCTTTCAAAGTTTTGAAATGTCATGAAAATGTGCCTTGGTGTGAGTTTATTTTCATCCATAATCTGAAGTACTTTGTGAGCCCTTTAATCTGGAAAATCATGTTCTTTAATTCTAGAAAAAATTTAAAACGAGCTCTTGAATGACTTCTTGCCCTCGTTTATTCTTCTGGAATTCTCATTATTTGTTATTTGGACTGTTTTTCTTTTCGCCCCTATTTTTCATTTCTTTTTCTTTTTGTTCTATTTTCTGGGATAGATCTTCTCTTCTCATTCTTGAGATTTTAATTTCTAGTATAGAGTTTTCATTTCTAAGACCTATTTTTGTTGTCTGGATTTTCATTTAAAAATGTTTTTTTAATAGCACTTGATTTTGTTTCATGGATGCTATATCTCCTCTTACCTCTTTGAGGATGTTAATGTTAGTTCCATTTGACATTTTCTTCTCCCTTCATAGTTTAGTTCACACCCTTCACATTGTCTTAGTCTCTTTCTTCCATATTAGAGGTTTCACTAGCTAGCTAGTCATCTTTGTTGTCTGCTCCTATTTAAAAGTGGAGGCTCTAAAAGCATCTAGTAGAAGCTCTGGGTAGGGGGGCTTCTCTGTGGGGAGATCTGGCTGACCTATTTCCTTGGGGTAGCCACCAAATATCAATATCTTAGGTCTTTGCTCTTCAGCTACTCAAATGCCCCAAAGAAGAATCTTCTTGATTGGAGCTTAATGGGGAAGAGGTTTAGAGGAGGGTCTTAGCACTGTTCATTTAATCCTCCTGTTTTTAGTATATACTCCTACCCTCAAGTTCTGCACTCTAACCCAAAGACGCTTCAGAGAGTAAACCTCTAGTCTCTATGGAGTGGAGGACTGTGAGAAAGGACCACAGGAAACCAATTGCTTCTTAGAGTCTCCATTTTTCTGTTTATAGTCCCACTTTCACTCCCGCTTCCAAATGTACTTAATTAGTCAATTTATGAGCTATTTGGGGGAAGGAGTCTGTGGTATAAATCTGCTTGCCCCTCAGCTTTTCCTATTGCTAGCTTATTTTTGCTTGTTTGGATTTGCTTTCTCATTCATTTGCTTTCTAGCTTCCAAAATTTTGTCAGTATGAGTCTTCTAAATCCCTTTGTTGTTTTAGTGGAGGTTGGGGGAGAGAACAAAAGAAAATGAGTGTGTTTGATCTACCATCTTTACCCAAAAATCATTGCAATTATTTTTATTAAATGATGCCTTAAATAATCAACTTGGGAAACTCAGAGGTAAGCCAGCATGTGGTCTTTAGTCCCTGTGTTTCCATATGTGCATGGGCCTGGCTGCAACCATGTAGATCTCTTTCTCTTGTTCTGAGCCCTGTGTGTTCACTATGCCAATCCTGACCTCCCTCATTAGGCTGTAACAATCTTAGAGGCAGATGCTATGCTTCTTTTCCTTAGAGAAGCACCAGAACAACTCTATTTCCAACACAGGTTGCAGGGATTTGTATATAGAAAATGCCAAGTTCTTGCAAAGATCTGAGCTTATTGTAATTTGTTCAAATTCAAGTGCAACTGGAAGATCACTTCCCATGAGGGTAGAAGCCTTGTCCCAAAAGACACAAGTCTTTCTGGTCTCAGGAAAGAAGTTTGGTTCTGAACTGGCAATGGAGGTTGAGCCCTCTTATAGCTTGTAGTCAAGGTGCAGAAATGGTGATGGAAATGGCGTTGAGCTATCCAGGTGGCCTCTGTCTTGCAGATTATTAACAGGGTATTCCCTAATGCCATTATAAATCCTCTACCCTTCAAAGGCAGTAAATTCACTTAATTACCTTAAAAATTAAGGAATATAGGCATTTTTTCTTTATGAAATGTTAATGGAAAGGAAATAAGAACATTAGGTTGAAAAATGTTGGATGACCTCTAGTTCACCAAGACCCATCCTTATTGACCTTGCCTTTTTTTTCCCTAATAGGTTGATTGATCCATGGTTAAATCATACCAGTCTATAGATCACTCTGAGCCCTGTCGTAAACCCTTGCTGGCACTTGTAGATGCAGAGAGAGCCCCAGGCCTTTCAAGAATGACCGTTTTCCGCTATTTTGAGAAGCATGAGTAGTTTTTATCTACACATTCCTGGGCTTAAGAGCAGTTTATGGGGAAAACTAAAATGAGTAAAGAGTCATATGTGTCCTGAGGAGGCGTGCACAGGGTCTGGTCTGTGAGAGATTTGGGAAGAGCCTTCAGTTGCCAAGTTCACTGTTATAAAGATATGTTCTCCCCAGCTCTTCTTCTTTTTTTATCAGTTATAAAGAAAATAAGACCGTATCCAAACCTATAATTACTCTAGTCATAGGATATTAACAAAACAAATCAAAGTCAATTTCTTCAAATGTCAGTCTTCGACTTTTAAATATTTATAAAGCACCATATCCCTAAATCAACAAGGAGTGCCACAATCCAAAACAACTACTGAATTAATAGCCAGGAAATAACATTTGGTTAAAAGAACCATTTACTTTACTGCAGCAATAAATGAAAACACAGAATTATGAGTCCTGGAGCTAATTTGAATAATGTTCAAGAAGTGGGACTCTAGCTGGCTGGGAGTACCTGATATCCTTTGACCATTCCTCTCCTTTGTTT